GTCCTTTATCCCCCGTCCCACACATCATCTTAGCACACCTCTAACGCCCCTCTTGTCTCGCCCCGTCTCGTGTGCCATCCGTCAGATCGAGTACGCTCGTCGACTCTCGCCAGGCACAGGTTACCGCGCCGTTTTCGCCCCGCCGGCCGCGCCGTCGCCGCTTCCGCCGCCGCAGCTACAAGCGGAGATGTCGGAGATGTCACGGGACGACGTTCCGCCCCACCGCTCTCCCCGGTTTCCGCCGCGCCCTTTGCCGACATGACGGTTTCAACTCAACGGTAACCGGGCGTGAGAAACAGATCGATCGCATGTGGAAAGGAGGCGTTTTGGGAAGGCGTGCTCCATTAGCGTGTGGTAGCGAGCGGTGTGGGGTCTCTTTTCGAGCGGTGGGTTGTTGGACAGTGTGGGGCGGAAGGTAGAGCAAGGTTGGCCTCTGGCACTTCCTTAGCTTCCGCGAACCTCCATTGGTATTTATGAAAGTGAGGCACGTGTAGTTTACGTGTTTTTCTCTCGCTTGGGACTAGGGGAAATAATTCAATGTTAAAGTTCATGCTTTAGAGGCCGTCCGTGTGCTGGCGTTCGCTGGCGTTCGCGTGCTGCCTCTCATTACTTGTTTTTTTACGCCGGTGTTTCTTGCGATGTTTTTGGTGCGGTTGTTTTCTTTTTCGCCCACGCTTTGGCCGAGCTTGCTCGCTCACCTATTCCCTTGTGCTAGCCTTGCCGTTGCCTCGAGTGTTCTTCTTGCTGTCGCATCCAATATATCGATATTTTTTGGTGCCTGGCCATGCTTGGTGTTGGTTGGTTCTAGTTTAAGCGGGGGGTTTCTTTGTGGAACATCGTTGGCCTTCGTTGGGCTATCACGACCACAGCTGAATGGTTACCTCTTTGTTTGTTTGGTCCCCTGGAATATGGAGTCTCGGATCTACTTGTCTTTCTTGTTGTACGTTTTCTCTACGGCGCTGTGTTTTTAAGCTTTCATTTTCGTTGAAGGCGCTTTGAGCGTTTCCCATGTGAGCGTCCCCCCCGTCGGGTGCGCCGGGAACGAGTTCCTTTGGTGATCAATCAATCACTGCCCGGCACGTCTGGTTGAGCACCGAGTTGTTTTTATTTAGTCAGGGCGTGCTACCGACAGTGGTGTGTCCGCGTTCTGCTTTGTGTGTTTCGTAGACGCGGCAGAAGCGTTGATTTCAGTGCGCTTGTCGTTGCTGTAAGGATGATGATGCCTTGCTAGGCCAGAGCGTCCCTCTTGTGGCTACGCTAGGCGGTGACGGTTGCTGCGGCAAGGGAGGGAGGGAGGTTCCTCACGCCACCACTTGCACGTGCTGCATGGCGGTAGGAGGGGGGGTGNCGAAACCTTGACACGAGTCAACCCTTGCAGGAGACCACGCAGCAAGAAAAATTGCAGAATTAAGAACAGCCAGATTGGAAGCATGCGCGCGGGGGGGGGAGGGGGGGGGGGGGCTCCGTGATTCTCCCAGAACAAGGTTGATTGGGGTTTCCCGTGTTTGGGTTGATCCTCATTCTCATTCCGCCCGTTGCGCATGCTTCATAAAGCGTTGGTCGAGAGTCTGGCCCGAATTGCTGATCGATACTGGTATTTACTGGTGTTGAGAATATTTGCTTTGCCGTTTATCTGAGGAGACTGCTGCTGCGGATACATGTGTGGGACGTTTTCGTTAGGCCGACGACTGTTTATCTTCGTGGTAAAGCCGTGCTCAAGACAACAGCCCGTAGTGCTCTTGTTTTGTGTGTACCGCGGTCATGGGGGGTTTCATAGCTCTCTTTGGCCCGCCCGGTTCCGCTGGGAAAGTATGATGAGAGAAGACCATGTGTTGTGTTGGTAGAAGGACGAGCGCGTCGGCCGAGACGGGATATCGACGTCCGATAACGAAAGCGGAACTAATGTAGCTGGATGCAGCACTACCGCGCACGACCGTAATTCTTGGCCCGAGGAGGCTCGTTTGTTTATTTTCTCTGGGAGGGAAAACCCACAGTAACTGTATAGGTTTTAGTGTGGGTTTTAATTGGCTGAGCACCTACCTGCTCTTTCGGCCAAAGCTTTAAAGTCTCTATTTTGATGCTTGTTTTTTCGACTGCCAGGGTCACTCTCAAGTGATAGCGCAGTCTATCCCAGCCTGCTTGTCTTGCCTTGTGCAACTTTGTTTTTTTTTTCTTGCGTTATTGTTGTTTCTTCTGGGAGTGGTGACGTGGCGTGTGCGTGACTTGATGCGCTTCTGAGCGGGTGGTCCTTGCGCCTGCAGGAAGCCGTACCCCTCGTTGGTACCAGCCGGGCTCGGCAATAGTGTATAGCGTACGTGTGTGCATGCTTTATGTAGAATGCGACCACGCCTTATTTGTTGTCGCGGCCGCCGCTGCTGCTGCTGCTGCTGCTGCTACTGCTGCTCAGGCGTTCTTCTGTGTGTTGTTGTCCGCAGGTAGATAGTGTTACGATATTCTCGACCCAATTGTTAGGCAGCTGGCACTTGCTTCTGTGCGCAGTCAGCCCTTTGCGACTACTAATTGCTAACTGCAGATATTTCATGGTGCCGCTTATGGAGGTTGGTTTCCTGTTAAATAGTGGTGTTTTTTGTATCGTGTTGCCCCTCCAACAGAGCGAGGCTTTTTTCCCCGTAATTTATTGAACCACAGTTTTCGCGCAGAGGGATCAGTGGTGTGGTTTGAGAGAACCGGCTGGATAAAAGGGGAGTGCCCCCGCCGTGTACATGCATGTAGTCTATGTGGAGCAATGCGGGAACTGGCAAAAAAAAAATGGGAGTTCGTCGCGCCCGAAAATAAATGTGTTCGTTGGTTTCCACACACTTTGTCCGCTTTGTTCGCACCGAGACGTGTGTGTACCGAGATATATCATTTTCTTGTGGGATGTTTCGGTTTTCTGTTTGAATTTTCGTGTTGTGCGATAGGCCCTTTTGGGGGGGGGGGTTGGCCGGTGAGAAAAAGGAAGGCATCCGCGTCAGGTGGCCCGGTGCGGATGTTGCAGCAGAGACCAGCACGGTGCATAATGTGGGAAGAGTATTCGACAGCAACATCGTTGGCATCGGTCGGTCGACACCACCTACCCACGTTCCTGCTTTGCAGAACTAGAACGAGTCAATCAAGTTGGGAACACGCCCAGAACTTCACCGTTCGAGTAGACGGTGAACCACCACCATCGCCGCTGCGGGGAAGATGTGAAATTGCTCGTGCATTCGTCGCGGTTTTGTCTTCGTTGTTGGACACGGCTTCAAGGTTCATATTGTGCTTTTTGTTCCATACACATAATTCTTGCCGTTAATGCGGCATCATCAATGTACCCACACTTAGATTTGATAGGTGGCCGCTCTCCGTCTCCTCACCGTTTCCCACCGTTTTTCAGCATTCGCACGTAACGTCCAGACACTTAGACTACTATCTATGAGCAAGCGCTATAATGGTGACGATCGACCGTTCGTTGCCTTCGGCCCTCGGATTTTTTTCTTCTTCTTGGTGATGAACAATCGTCAAGCAGGGAGTGAGTTGAGGATGTCGGCAACGCACATAAGGTGGAGGACGTGCCAGCTGCCAAAGAGAGAATATCTATACTCCGAGTGTTCGTATGAAATTGGCAATGCTCACACGTCCTTACTGTTGGATCGGAGCTGAAAGTTGCTGTGGTGATTTTCTTACACTGTCTGTTGAGCGATCGCAACCACACCAGTCAACGGCAAAGAGTGTAATAGCTCTGTGGCACACTTAGCTCGCTCTTTTTGTCCCGGATGGACAACAGAATGTGTTTTTTCTGCGTTCGAGGACGCAGACATCCAAGAACGGGACACAGCAGACTCCATGAACAACAACAATGCTTACAGCACATGATGAACACATGAGCATGTGAGACATCACAATCACCAGTCACAGGGCAGTAGTAAAGGCAGATAACGCGCGCAATTATCGGGTCATGCTGTCCTGTGTCAGATCGTCAGACAGTAGACAGATCCTGCGGGCTATGGTGTATGACTATATGCTTGATTGCTATAGTCATATACCACAGCCTGCGGGGAAAACAGGGGAAAAGATCCGGGGGCTCCGTGATTTGTACCCCCTCCCGGTGGGGGAGCCAACACGCAGCAGACCTCTTTTTTTTTTCGTACGCTGGTGTGTGGCCCGTCCCCGCTCTCCATCTCTGGGATTTCTCCGGGTGTGGCTATCTCTCGAGCACCATGGTGAGCCTATTGATGCTGTAGCCTCATTCTATGTAGGGGCGGAATTTTCGTGCTAAGTGGGAACCTGCGCGTGTGCGTGGTTGCCTGAGTTTGAACCTTGTGTTTTTTTGCGGCCCAGCCTGAGCCACGCTTTTTGTCGCGCCTACCTCGAAATTCAAGGGTCTGGGCGACCTTTAGAGCCGAGTCTCTCGTACGCTGCGTCGCCAAGACATGGCTATCCTTGGTCTGCGTTCCCTGCGAGCTGTCGGTTGGTGGTCAGGTCAACGTGCTAGTAGGATGAGGTGTGCAAGTCGTTTCAGACGTGTGTTGCTGTGCATCGAGGTGGCGGCTTGGCAGAGGATCAGAGAGCGAGAGACTACCGCGGGACTGCAAAAAGCTCCCTGATGAACACAGGGCCATGAGGTCATTGAATTGTCGCACGATGGCACACCAGTGTTGTTGTTCACGCATCGTGCTTCACACTCCTTCACTCCGTTACGTTCGATCTGTTTTGTATGGTGGGATGGGTTGCCAACTGTTCGAGTGCGGTCCAAGCTTGCTGGTGTGCTGGTATACTTCGACGAGACTCCTTTTGTCGCCTTGCCACTCTGTGTTGGTGGTGTACGTAGTATGCTGTAATGAGCCTAACCCACCGCATACTCCCGACTGATACAGTCCATCACCAGCACAGACCGACAGTTGTGCTCCCTTTGTCGGCATGTCTAACAAGGCCCGAGCAAGTTTACGCGCCACTCCTTTACAAACACCAAAACCTGTACTGAAGATACCACCTCCTAGCGCCTGGTGCTGGTTTCTTATCTACATACCTACAGCTTACAGCAGTAGTTTCCACGTTCGTGAAGGAGTTTAACCCCCTGATGGAATCCCGGGGAGGTTGGCCACCCTCTTCGATGCTTTTCCCACACTGCATCTTGTGCATCAGCACCTTCCCCTGGGGTTTCGAGTCGGGTCTTGTCAATGTTGGTCGCGTGAGATAGAACGTTCGTCCTGAAGAAATGTATAGAGTTGCGTACGATACCGCACCCTATTTTTGGACCGACGATTGCCCTGCAGCAGCAACAGTAAATAGCACTAGTGGCCGTGCCGAAAATGGCGGCCTTGGAACCGTATCATCAAGGGCTTCCGAAAACGTATATATGTGGTTCTAGTCACACATCCGTCGTGGAGTGACCGCCCTTTTGAAAATCGTCCTGGGAGGTATTAGATGCGTTCAAGTTTTGCCGTTCTCGCTCGATCTGGCGGTTTCGTCGAGGCAACGCTTCCTGGGGCCCACAACACAGCAGCGTGTTTCATTGGCTGGGCTACGCGACAGGGCAAGCACGAACATCACACACCAATTCCTTCGTCCTGGCTAGCAGGCGTGCACATCTCCATCAACCCCTGTCCGCCCGCCGCGTTTCGTTGATGCACAACGACGGAAGTGTGTGCCTATAATTTGTGCGGTGCCTGCCCGATAGGACCGCCTCTCGCGAGGATGTTAGAGGTCTACGAAATAGAGGGAATTTTCCTATCCCTGACCTCCATCCCAACCCCTTGCTCCCCACTAAAACCAAGGTTGCTTGCCTCGCGTAGGGTACTGGCCCGTCGTTATCGTGCAGCCCGGAACGACGGACTGATTTTTTCGTTTCGTTGTCCCCGCTTGCGTCGTCGGCAGCCTTCCCACAAGACCTTCCGCACCAAGGTCACCTTGGGCAAGAAGATGAAGCAGAACAGGCCCATCCCCCAGTGGATCCGTCTCCGCACGGACAACACCATCCGGTGAGTTTACCATGAATTGACAACGAGTTAGATATACTTCTTGTTGTCTTTGGGGAAAACGTAGGTCTTTGGGGCTTTGTGATGCGAAGACGATTTAGAGCTTTGCTCAGCGGTGACATTACGAAAGATGGCATGAGCCTCACCATCGAATGGTTATTTGCTGGTTCGCTGTTGTTGAATCCTGCTAACTCGCCGCCAGATGTAGCCACATGGCGACAGGCTAGTGACGCAAACAGGGGGGAATAGTCGCGGATGGATGGGTGATGACTAACGCGTATTTCAACACGCAACAAGAACGTGGCTTGTCAAAGCGACCCTGCGTGTAACACTCTGATGCTCAGTAGTCAACGTAGCAAAATTGACTTATCAAACATATAGGACAACGTATTGAATCCGTGCTTGGGTAGGGCTAGGGATGGGGTCCGCGTGCCCCCTCCCTATTTCTCTTTAGATAGTCTTCAAAAATCCTGCGTAGGCGGTCCCTGATGCTGGTACCCTTCCACCCTACCGCCGGCTCAATGCTGTCATTGTTGCTGTTGTTGCTGTCACTACCAGTAAGCTTTTGTGACATCTCTCAAGCACCTGCCCTTACCCCATACCATTCAACGCGAAGAAGGCACGAAAAACAAAATCGTAGAATCGGAAAGGATAAGGCCCGTTGTGGCTGTCTCTCCTGTGCGTCATGGCTCCCATCATTTTTGCTGCAGCTATATATCCGTGTTTAATGGCGCTCTTGTCTTGTCGACACATGCCAGTGAGGCACACCCGCGGTCACACTTCCACCCCATACAGAGCTGATGCAAGTCGCGCAGATGTAAAACACACGTTGAAATCTCGACGCGACAGCGACCGCGGGCACGTCGATGTTCCACTTGTAAAAACGGTTTTCGGTTGTGGCCGTGGGTTTCTTCCGCTCGCGAATGAACATCGACGCATCCGGGCCTCGTGCCAAATATCTTGGTCCGCACGTCGGTCCTGTCGAAGGCGTTTTGTTTCTGACACTTTGTCCCCCCACCGCTTGCGCTCGTCCACGACTCTTCGTATTCTCTCGTTTTGTTCTCAGCTACAACGCCAAGCGCCGCCACTGGCGCCGCACAAAGCTCGGCCTGTAGAGCGCTTGTTGCTGGCGCCGCATTCGGGAGGAATGGGGGGGTGTGGGGGGCGGGACTGGAGCGGGATGCGTTGGCCGATAAATCGATCGACCGACCGCGGAGCACATCGCAGGAGTCATCTGTCTGACGCAACGTTGGCGTGCAGTCGGGGTGTCGCACTCTTGCCTGCAAGCAGTACACCTGCTGCCAAGCGCACGGTAGCACGTGTAAGGCAGTAGGTTGCCGTTGAGAGAGTTACGCCGGAAGGTGCTAGTGTCTAGGGTCGTTGTTCATACCCCCCTTCCCCCTGGAGTGGCTGGCTCCATCCGTTCGTTTTCTGAAAGCGAGTAGAGAGGGGCCAACCACCAATCAAGAAAAGGAGATCCTAAAAATCAAGAAGAGACGCGGACGAGGTATTCCGTTTTTTTTTGTTTGGTGCACACTTTTGGGCCTTTTTTTGCGTCAAGCGTGGCTGGCGCTTTTGGTCGAAGCGAGTGCTGCGTGTGATCGGGTTGCTTCGATGCGACGACCTGGACTTTCGTGGTTTTGGCGGACGATGCAGGACGTGCCCCGGGTTTCTTGCTTGGGGGCGAGGGCATAGAGACGGCAGTGCACAACCAGCCGCAACGCGCACCGTGGCCACCCTATCCTCGCCGTGGGTGGAAAATTTACTTGACAACATGCGCGCAACCTCTTGCTAGTTGTTCGAGCACACAGCCCACCAATTTGCCCCCGTGACCACGATTACCACGTCGTTTGGAGTTTGGTGCACCCCACGTTGAAGCCTTGGGGTCGTTCTCGCCTAGAGCCCACCGTAAGCCCCGTCACCATTACGATGAACAACTCGAGTTGGCGTTTCGTGCACCTCACGTTGAAGCCTTGAGGTTGTTTTCGTCTTAAGCCCACCGTGAGCCCCGTCACCATTACGACGAACACCTCGAGTTGGCGTTTCGTGTACTTCGCGCGGTGAAGACTTGAGATGGTTTCGCCATGTTACGACTGAACAGCCGCAGGGTCGGCCCTTAGCTTCTGCTGTAGGTCTAGGTTCTCATGCAGGCACGCGCACAAAACAAACTCGCTTTACACCAAGCACGATTGGCAGCCAGGCAACAACATCGGCCGAATTATCGGGTAGCCGGCGTTCTTCCCGTTTCCTGCGGGTCACTCCGAAACTCATTAACACGCTCGATTATTTTTCCAGTCTCCAACGCAGTCATTCAACGGCGCATCCGCAGATGTCGAATCATCTCGCCCTCCCCTTGCCTCTCGAGAAGGATGATTCTCTGCCCATTGCACGAAACGAGCATGAACGTGGCTACTGTAGAACCGGAACCCAAGTAACGTCTCTCGTCGCATTTTTGGCACGAGTCGCGTGTAAGCAATGTCACCGTCTTGCTACGCTTGCTACGATATCACAACCGCACCCTTCGGGCCCCTACCCATACTCTATCCAACACACCCGACGCAGCGGCAACACCCTGAACTGAGAAAAATATTGACACATGTGGATCACAGGCGTCGAGCTGACGCGGCCACTACTGCAGCAGACGAAGTACACAAATATGTATATATACCGGGGAGAAACGAATTGAGCGGGGCTGTCATGTTGATTCCCAGCTCTGAATCCTCTCCTGATTCCAAAGCCAGCGGCTGAGGTCAAGAGGGGCGGGAATTCCTCGAGTCTACACCTCCAAGTCACCGTATATCACGAAAGAAGGCTGCCTGGCCGCCCCGAAGAGAGTACCCGACGAGGGTATTACGTCTTCGTTCGGTGCCGAAGGAAAAAAGACATGAAGAGAACAAGGCACGCCAGCTCGAACCCACTCCACGTGGATAACACGAGTTTTGTGAAACAACGGATTATACCCCTGAAAAGCGGGTTTGATCTCTTTCCCCCCCCCCCGCCTAACCGAACGGGTTCGCTAAGCTGTGCTGTGCCGCTTGGCGCTTGGAAGGCGGCACGATGTCGGCTGGAAGCGAAGCAGGCGGCTTGTTGCCCGCCGCGGCTTGGTGGGCCAGGTACCACGCAACGGCAAACTGTTCCAGCAGAATCCACATGTGCGTGGCCCAAGCGACATGAAACCAAGGTCGGACGTGCGATAGAGAAAAAAATGAAAAACGGATGGGCGGGCGGGGGGCGAAAAAGGAGAGCGTTAAGCAGGTGAAGACAGACTTTGTGTTGATACAAACAAGATGGAGGAACAGAGACAAACGGGGAGCAACATGAGAGGGAAATTTCAAAATTTGTTGCAGCATCGTGTCCATGTGGAACCGGGGCCGGAAGGGTGATTACTGTTTCGCAGAACCTCGTTGAATCCTCGGTACAGTAGTTCGGATTCGTAGGAGGCATTGCATTTATCACTCGGCTAGAAACAAAACCCTTGAAATCGAGACGTATTCGTCGCTTCGGTAGCACTCGAAAGCGGGAAAGCAAAACGAAAAAACCACAAGAGTTTGTTGAGAAAGAAACTCCAACAAACTGTCCTCTAAGCCGTTGTTGCCTCCCAAAATCTCCCCCAACCCTTCGAGACACATAAGGCTCCACCAGCAGCAAAAACCACGCTTTTCGTCGCACCTCGTCGCGGTCCAACATCCCGTCCTGGTCGATGTCCGACAGCGCCCACACGGCCCTCAAGTCCTCCTGCCCGGCCCCGGTCCCCGTCCTCAAGGCCACCGCCGCCTGCTCTCCGGTAAGCTTTCCCGCCGCGCTCGGGCCGGCCATGGCCATCTTAAGGTCGGAAGCGTCTCGTGACTCCGGGGGTACCGCCCATCCGTCTTCCGCAGAGTCCGGCTTCGGCGGCGGGGGGCCGGCGGACGAAACTCCTACGCCCTTGGTACCCGCGGCGGGGGGCAAGGCCTCGGCGTAGGCGGCGGCGACCGGTACGCCGGTGGTGGCGGTGGTGGCGGCGGGAGTGGCTACGGCGGTGTGCTGGGCGGAGGCGGTGGTGGGGTCGGACGACGTGACAGGCGCTTCGGGCGGGTAGTACGAGGCCGTCTCGAGGAAGTCGTACAGGGGCACGCGGAGGGCGGGAGTGTTGGTGGAGGCCGCCGTGCAGAGGGACTGCAGCCAGGCCTGCAGCATTTGTCTGGAGGTGGGGGGTAGTCATCGTTATCATGCCTTCGGTATTAAACGGTTGACCACTCGTCCTTGAGGGGACGGAGCAGGTAGTGTGCGTACAACGGCGGCTGCTAGGGTCTTGTGAGGGAGGGTGCTGTCCACCCATATTTGTCGCTAGTATCTATTACGTTTAATCTGACCGCACCATCACCCCTTACTAGGCATACGCGGTATCCAGTGGGCTAGGGAGGGTGGCTGGGCAAAGAGGGGGAGTCGTATCAAAAAGCGTGTTTATCGTGGAGGGGATTGGCAGGCTCTCCCGTCACCGTCAGGAATGGTTGAAGCCTTCTCAATCGCAAGTCCAACAGCTGTAGTCTAAGGTGTTGAGCCTCGAAACACTATGGCGATCGGTGGCAACCCCTGCAAGGGTGCCGGGAGACGCTGCTACGAAATATTGCAGCACTCTTACGTTTAGTTTTCGTCCCGGTCTACAAACACAGAGAACCGTTCATGGCATGTGGTGCAAGACAAGCATGACGTCACGTCTTGGTTTGTCGCATGATGGCTAAACCCTTGTCGCGACAAAAACTAAGGCAAGCGGCGCAGGGAGAAAGGTGGGGCACCAAGAACAAAAAAAGGCAAAAGTTCCTGTGTGGCCTTCTCCTTGAGTGACCCCGGCTGATACGTCAGACATGAAAAAATATCGGTGTTGGCGTGTAGACTGGCGCAACAAAAAAGGGGACCAACACACACACACATACACACACGATCGACCATGACCACGCTCTCATTCTTACCGCCGCTCTTCCAAGTCAGCCGGTCCGAGCCCCACGGTCGAGCTCCGGATGCTGCACTTGGGGGGGAAGGGCGGGGTCGTCGTGCGAATAACCCGCGAAACGCGCTCTCGGAGCTGGTCGAACTGCGAGTAGCGCCTGAGCACACCGTACTTGTAGCCGTCGTTCATGGTGACCTGGGAGGGGGAGGGCGGAGAAGCGGCAGCAGCACGAGGGAAGGGAAGCGGTTGTAACGCGAAGTAAGTTAGGGGCGCACTCGAGCGCACTCGAACGCACTCTACGAAAGGGACTCAACGACACCAGATGGCAATGGCGCGTTCTGATGGGGGGGGTGGAGGAACATGTAAGAGAGTGGGAGGTCTTCGAGCTACTGTGAGCTGCTGGCAAGGTACAGTATCCCGCCGTACGTGCAACAGCGCCACTCTATGGAAGCCGCAAGGCGTGCACAGTCACAGCAGCCGCACAAGAGCACGCCAAATCCAGAGGGGGCGTTAACGCTGCTCGCCCGGGGGCTCAAAACTCTTCCAAGAAATCGAGGAAACGTCCCGATCTCTGTATTGCTTCAGCACAAAATCTCTCTCTCAGCATGGAGTTGTTGCCGAGACCATTCCAGTACTGGCTTTGTGTCACTAATGGAACGTGTCTTGGTTACCCACGAACGGTGCGTGACAACCATAGATACGGTCGCGCTGCCCTAGGGAGAAACATTTTCTCACAGCTTTCAAGCCCTCCTCCGAGATCGCAAACCGCGACAGGCGCCCTACTGCCTGGCTACGGACATCCAACCATTGATTCAGCGTAGCCTCTACCATACATATCACACCCTCCCATGACCGACCGTGGTGGATTTCGATTTCGCGACCTTCGGCATGGCGCCCTGTCACTCTCTCACCTGCACTTCGAAGAGCACCTCTCCCCCCTGTCCCGTGCGGTACGATGCCAAGGCGACCCGCATGATGATGAACGGCGTCTCTGCCGCTCGCACCGCCCTAGGCGGCGCGTGCACTTGCCCTGGCTGGGGCTCCTGCACAACGTAGATGTAGCCGGCTGGCGGGGGGGGGTACCTGCGGCGCGGGGGCGGGCCGACTACAGTGGCGATGGCTGCTCCGGTTGCCACAGCACCCACCAAGCCTGGGGACGAAGAAGGGGGGGGGGGCGTTGTGTACCGGTGATGCCGTTTGGATAGGGATCACCATTGTAAGCAAGTACGGGCACCACGAGCAGAGGTGATCGCTACAAGCCGCGCGATCTACAAAGTGATGCATACTGCGCAGCAGCAGCAGCAGCAGCAGCGGCAGGGTAGGCGTCTGCCTATCTGTACGTGGTTCAGAAAGTGTCTGCGTTTGCAACAGGACGGGGCGAAACTGTTCACTGCGGATGTACTCTGATTCAGGTAACGCGATACAGCAGTACCCGACGAAACACAAAGGGCCGGTCCCGGCTCTTTCGGGTTTGCTGAAACGGGGCCGACGAAATCGGAAAACGCGGTTGCAGCATCAACACATCTGACAGCTGTATCTTGATAAATTGAGACGGAACGGGATTCGCAGGAAAACGGATAGAGTGCAAATCAACACGCGGACGTGTGGCAAAGGGTGCTATCGGGAAGAGCGAGGAAAATCTCTTTTCACAGCCTGCTCTGAACCCCTTTGGGTCTAAATCTTCTTCTTCAGCAAAAAAAAAAGAGTGAGGAGGAGAGAGTGCGGGAGAGAGAGACAGAAGTACAGCAGAAAGAGACGTGCTCTTCTGTAGACGGACCAGCTACTCCACCCATAGGCCATGAGGGCTGCCCACGACAGGACGGTGGGCACAAAAAGGGTCATAAAAGGGTGTACGTGTGGTATCGGTGCGGCCGGTAGGGCAGGTTAGGCTTGTAGACCTCGAAAAATCAGCCGTCAAGCAGCCGAAACTACTCTATTTCAGTATGCTCTAATGATCAGTGAAAACAATCAGTGAGAGGGCGAGTAGACCCATAGCTGCTGGTTCTTGTACTTCTGTACTTCACTGTCGTCTTCCCAATGTGAGCCCTGCCGGCTCACTACAGCTCCTGTGATTTTCCCACATTTCCCACACGCACCCAGGCACACCACAGCACACACCTACCTTTGCATCAGTGGCTCTCTAGGTTCGGGCGAGGGTATGTGTAGGGCTATGATAATAGTGTATGTGTTACTACTGTATGTTGGACTTGTCTATACCGCTGCTGCTGCTGACACGATGACTGCTGGATCTTGGGAGTGAACGATTTTCAAATTTGGAGGATATGCAGCATACTACGATCATATCCTTGCCTGGTTAGGGGGTTGGGCTTGAAGTGCCCCTTTTCGCTGTCATCCTGTCTTTCCTTGAGTGGCTTCCTAGATTCGGAGAGGGCACGTATGTGGAGCTTTTGATGTGTGCCTCTGTGAAAGGATATGGCGAGAGATCCATGGTGGCATTAGCATTTAGAGCAGTGTGCATTTTTCGGATTTTGGCCGTTCCAGAGACCTGATATTAATTGCTGGTACTGCTGTGACGTCTTTGCATTGGTCACCGGGTAGCGCGGTCGATGCCAATAATAAAAGACACACCTACCTAATGAACGTGCCAACACCTGGCGTGGAGGGATACAGGGCAACAACTCCATGGGATGCCACAACATCATTTGCAAGTGATCAATCAATAATCAGTCAAGGCGCCTGTAGACCCAAAAGGGTTGAAGAGACAAACGCGGCTCTAGGCGGGCACGCAAAATACCAATAACAACAAACCACAGCAGCAGTCACGCACAAGTCTACACCATTGCACAGACTCATCACGCCACAAGACCAGAGCTTGGCCCTTAGCTTACCGAGAGGCCCCGGGCCTGGACCAAACAAAGGACCACCAAACCTCGGCCTCCATCCGAACCCTCTCCCGAATCCTCTCCCGAATCCTCCGCCGCCTCTAAACCCGCCTCCCCTTCCGAAACCACCAGGGCCAGGCATTGTGGCTCAACAAGATGTAGATGCCGGATTGTCGGCCTTCTTCTGTGCGCTTGCTTCAACTCCGTGTCCAGCCGTAGTGAAGTCTGAAGCAGCGGGTGCTACTCTCTTGATGCGCAGATTCGGTTCTTCTTGAAGTCCGCCGCTCAGAAGGCCGGGCCGTGTGTTGTATTTTGGATCAAGGGAACTGTGGAGGACAAAGGGCAACCGACGACCAACCAGGAGTGAAAGAAGATAATGGGCAGAAGAAGCAGGGCTCTCTGGTTCCGTTTTCTAGCGTGTGGAAGGGCGCGTGTGCTGCCGCGTGTTGTTCTAGAGGTGTCTAGAACACGAGAAATACGTGACGGGGTGACGGGGGAGCAGACGGGGGCGGAGGAGGCGGAGAGATCGTGAGGTTCCCCCGCCCCGGGGGGAGTTAAGTCCACGAGGCGATTAAATGGACGGAGGCGTTTCGTAACAAAGAGAGAGGATGCTGTAAACTTCGCTGGATCCGCACACGTCGGCGGGTGCATTGATCGGTACTTTTGGGGCAAAGGACTACCGGTGAGGTGGAGGCTGTTGTAGATCGCCGGTAGCCCTCTTTTCAGCAGCAAATGACAATGTAAACAATTCAAAACGGCAATGTTTCAGAAGACTAGTCCGCGGCACGCTTGCTGCAAGTTCTCACTCGTGAGTCGTTTTGAAACGAAGCAACGCTGGATCGTCACCGTTGTTGTTGCACAGAGTATATCGAGCTTCGGCAACCGGTCCAGGGCAAAGTTGTACATGTATCGTCTGCGACCTACCGCAATTTGCTCAATATACCACACCCGCTGGACCTACATTCGATACTCTAGACTGATACTCCACGAAGAAGACGGTGCCGAAACCAAGTGATCCGTTTTGGAAGTCTCTGGAAAAGACGGTTCGAACACCGACATTTTCGGCACCGTCGCTGGTCTTGCTCCAGATTAATTGAGCTTCGGTCAAGGGTGTGCGGTATCTAACCTAGTCCATTGCATGCGTGTGTTTCGTTTTGTCGATGAATAGGTCTCGTTGTTGACGCTTGACGCTTGCCCTATAGTACTGCTGCTGCTGCTGCTGCTGCTGCTGCTGCTGCTGTTGTGGTGTTCCGCACGACTTGCGCGCCAACACCGCATGGCGTGGAACGCGCGACGATCATCGCCAAACACCCGGTTTTCGAACACGCTACCACGTACGACTAGTGTCATGCGCGCGCACCCAAATGTCGGATCATCTATGTGGTCAGGGAGGTTTTTGCAATCATCCGAACGTGTTTGTAATGATTTTCTCGACGACCCCGTGTTTGTTTTCTTTCTTTTTCGCTGGTTGCATTCGGTTTTTTTGCAACCCGACAGGAAGGTTGGAGATACTCCAGCATCTAAGGCCCTGCGGGAGGAGCTTCGGCCTGTCGTGGACGTGAGCGCATGTCTTCCTTGACTCTCGAAAGCATTTTTTATTGCTTGGCATACCTGCGCTTGACGCGTTTATTGCCTCTTCCTTCTGCCTGGCACGCATTAGTATTTTAGTGGACATCCACACTACGGCGGGCGTCCTTGTACGGGATCTTCTGGATCGGAGATGGCGTGTCTCATCCATTCCCTTTCCCCTCACGTTTGTTTCACGAAACACACGCTCACCTCGGCTGCTCCCTCGGGCTCCCTCCTGCGGTACCATCAAAAACAACAACAACAATAGCAACAACAAACAACAAACAACAGGCGGTCAACATCCCCGTGATTGCCAACGGGGACGTGGACACGAGGGCGGACATGGCGGGCATCAAAGCCTTGAGCGGATGCAGGTGGGCGGCGAAAATTTTGTATCTTGTCTGTGGGTGGGGCTGTCTTTGTGTACGGGTGCCGCATTCTCTTTGTCACCATCTATTTTGATGGTATATTCTACGACGCTGCAGAAGTAGGCAGTCAGGAGGGTCGTGGTGTACTTCTCTGGTGGGAGTGGATTTCCACGAAACATGCAAGGCTTGTAGTAGCCCAAAAACAAAACGGGGTGGGGTGGGGGAGGGGCAAAGGACGACAGCACGGCGTACGCGCCGGGCCACAGCAGCCCCAAGAAGTTGTGGAAGAAGTTGGCACCACCGTACACCGAAGTCGGCATGAATCTCTCCCTGCCGCGCGTTGGAATTGCTTTGAACGCGTGTCAGGAACAAGCGGTGGGGCTTTCAAACAACCTAAGTCATATTCTTGGGGGAGAATGGGGCAATATCTATGGAGTATATCCACGTTTCATACGCCTGCGATGGTGCTGCACTGACACCCAGTAAGGAGGGCGTAGGTGTTGAGTTTTGTCTTTTTTCTTCTCCCTTCAGAAACACATTCCCGTAACGGCTGCTCCTTGTCCGCTGTTCTCGCTATTTTTTGGGGGCATTGCTGTGGCGGGCGGAAAAATCCGTGCCAGCTCGGTGATGCTGGCGCGACCGGCCCTGCTGAACTGCTCCATCGTCAAGCCCGATGGACACGTGCTCCCGCTCAAAGAGGTTAACATACCTCTCGATGAGAACCTGCAGGAACTGCACCATGCCCTGCGGCACGTGCGACTTAGGTGGAACTCCTGCTCTGCCCTACTGCCTCGCTGTCCGATGGGCTGGCTGATACAAGACAGCGGGGGGGAACAACGCCAATTGAACGCGCGCAGCGCTATTTAGTTAGTGCTACTGCCGTACATTTGGGGTTTGGAATGCTTTTTGCGGTTTCGCGAACGAACGACGTGCGCCAAACCGCGTGTGCGCACAGCTGTGCTGGCAGCTGGTGAAACACCCCACGGCTGCTGGAGACCCTCGATGGTTGATACATCTCTTGTTCGGGCTGTCGGTTGGGCTGAACAATGCGCCCTTTGTGCGGGAGATTCGGATCAAAACATCGCGATTGCTTACCCTCATTGCAAAAGCATAGGCAGTAGCCACCACGTGTCCCTGTAGTGCGTTGAACCACGGGAACTGCCAAGAACAGAGCATTCATAACGCCGTGGGCAGACGTGCGAATTATCCACCCTGTTTTTCGATGGACATTTTTAATTTCTGCGCCGTACTGGTAAGCAGCAGCTGTCAGGGACCCTCCTCGGTCATCCCGCTTGCCCCCTCCGCTATCGATGCCAAAGGGTGCACCGACTTCCCACGAAACGCCAACCTTTCGCTGATAACCAAACAGGTGATTCAGCAGTACCTGCGGGAGTGCTTTCGGTACGACTCGGTCTACCAGAACGCGAAGTACACCGTGATGGAGATGCTCACCAAGAGAAGGCATCCGGATCATCTCAAGGTGGACTTTTCTGTAGAGCTCATGCAGTCTGTGCAGCGAGGGTATAGAGTATAAAGCACAGCGATGTTGTGGCTGGGTCGGTCAACCCCCGTGATCCCAATGCCTGTTTGCTCCGGTGAGTTAGCCGGAACCACGGTACACTCGATCGATCCTGTCGTAGAAGTGCTCTGTCGCATCTGGGTGCTACGGATCCCTTCGCTGTGGTTCGTTGACTTCTCTTCCCTTCCCTGCGTCGTGGATCGAGCGAGATCTCCTCCCTGCGAATGCTCGGTGCTCCAACGTTCTTAAACTTCCTTTCCGTTTCAGCGTTGCCGTTATTCTTCTCTCTCAAGTTGCTCCATGTACACTTCGGTAAGCGCCTCCGTTCCCTTTCTCCCCCTCCTGCCGTCTGCTGGAATCAGGAATCCATCTCCTTGGGCCTGCCCGGGCGTGCTCCTAGCATGCGCGAGGTAAGGCCGGCGAAGACGTTAGAGCAGCTGGCGAGGCTTTGGGACGTGGGAACCGACTTCGATGCGGAAAATTCGTGACTCCCACGCACATTCCTGTTCTTGGGCTATCAAGCAGATCGCCCCCTCTTGTTGTGAATCACGTCGGGAGTCCCCCCGTCTAACCCCGTCTACGATGGTGATTCGTGCCACGCTGCTTCTTCTTCGTTTCAACGCGATCAAGGAAATAGTTGCGTGGAATTTTGTGTCGGGAGTAGGTCTTGCTCACAGGAGGCCTTAGACTAGAAACGGTGGTGTGCATGCTGCAGAACGGAGGGAAGCCGTTTTGGTTGCGGTGTATTTTCTCCATCCTTCCACCCCATCCCATCCCATCCCACCCTCCGCCCACCCTCCTGACCCCCGATCGCTCGGACGAAGGAAGCGCGCGGAAGAGCTTGGCGAGGCTAGATCGATAGAGCAGGAAGAGCGGGGGACTGTCCACAAGTGAGTCGCGACGATTGACCTTCTGCTCTCTTGGCGCCGAGAAGGAACAGCGCGGTTGTGTGTTCGAGAATAGGTATACCGATTTGGAGCGTAGGGAAACCCCGCCTGATTGGAAGCCGCTAGTAGCAGTAGTGGTAACGCCGCTGGTTTGCAAGACGCAAGGCGCAATGTTGCGGCACTAAACCACGACTTCCGTGTGACACTCTCGTGCACCCCCACAACATAAACATAACTAAACAAGAACAAATGCAGCGGTATCACGGGGCTTTTTGTCATCGTTCTCTGATTGCGTTGATTGTGTCCTACGACTGTTTCTAGTCTACGCTTGCCCCGCTTTGTTCTTGGTGCTGCTGTTTCATCCCTGCAAACACCATCGTCGTGTACAGGTTCGACGACGCGTATTTTCTGGGCACAGAGGAAGCATGAACAGACAACGCTGTAGGCGCCAAGACTCGCGACTCGTCGGACGCTCCTGACGCCAAAGCCGCGCGAGGCCGGGGTGGTAGGGACCGTGGGAATGGTGGCGGCGGAAACGGGGGCGTCGAAGCCACCGCTATGGCTGTGGAAAATGGCGGTGGCGGCGGAAACGGCGGCGTAGAAGTCACCGCTATGGCCGTGGAAATTGGCGGTAGTGGTAGCACAGGGGCACCCACCACCACTACCGCAGCGATTGCCCGCTCAACCTGCGCCGGTGGCGGAGATAACTGTGTTGGCGAGGGTGGCGACAGGAAGGACGGACGCGGAAGGGCGAGAAGAGGCGCGCCTTCGAGGGAGCGACCGAGCGGGGGATGGCGAAGCGGGGGGGATCGTGGCGCGATCGGTGGTTGCTGTTGTGGCCATTGCGAGGGAAGCAAGCCGCGGTGGTGGCGGTGATGGCGATAGAGATGGAGGTGCTGGGACTGGCAAAGCAGTAGCAGAAGAAGTGCAACAACCGCAGCAGCAGAGGAGTGGCGGGGTTGCTTGTTCGGAACGAGGGAGGAGTCATGAGCGAGGAGGAGGAGAAGAAGATGGCAGCTTCTCCGGAGATGGTTTACACGCCGAAGAGGGCCTGCGGCAGGCGTGGGTGCCTTGGAAGCGACCTCGAGAAGAGGAGGAGGAGGAGGAAGAGGCGAGCGCGTTGTAGTAGTATCTAATAGCTGGCCACACCGCGGTTGCATGCACCGTACGATACGATCACAGAGAGCGCGTCAAGTTTGACCCAACAGCGTTCTTTCTGGGGCGCGTTTGTTTCGACAGGGCCAATTGAATTTTCGCGAGAAGACCACGACTCTCCTCCTCGCTAGGGAGAGGCCCAAAGACCGCTAAACAGACTGGTGATGAACAGTGGGAGCAGTGGTCGGGGTTAGGCGACTTGCTTTCAAAATCCAAACTGGTGAAGGCCAGGCCGAGGTGGGTGGTGACAAATCCGTCCGAGGAGAATTTCCTCGATTAGAATCGCAGCTTGCCTCTGGCAACCGTGCCGGTCCTCCAAGGGATTTTCATTTTGATGTATAGGTGGTATAGAGAGCAGTGAAGAGGTGATTCGCTAGAAACGTAGTGTGATAAATTGTTGCATCCGTTGGACGACGGTCAGGGCAAGAAAAAAGCGTTCAGTATACATGTATGGTTTGGGTGGACAACGCCTAATAATCAGTCTGATGTAGAGGAAACAGACGAGGATATGATTTTCTGTGCTGCGCGCAAAACATCGCGAATTGGGTTGTTATGGAATTGGAGCACAACAGATGTGACAACCCGCATGCCTTGGACTGAGAGAACGCGTGTTTTCCATGTCTTCGCATGTATCCAGCGCAAGACTGTCCACACACCACACACACACCACACACACACACGCACGTAGTTTCGGCTTGCTTGCGGTGAGGTGGACACCATGATGGTGCACGGTGGAATGAAAGATCGCCCCGGATCACGGATGAACGCGGATGAACATTTCCCGTCGTCGTCGGGTCATGCCGAACTTCGTTCATCCTGTCAACAAAGACTATACACTGATAGTGCTTGGGACCGTTACAAGCACAGCCATGTCTTCAATGCACACCCGCTGGCCAATTGGCATGAACACGTATCCTGCGACGAGGTGGATAAAGGATACGGTATTGTCACGGTTCCGTTTTTGGTGTTGTGGTGTGGTGGGGGGTGGGGGGGTTGTTTGGATACCCCCTCGGGTGTTTGTTGTTTGCGCTTGGGGAAAGAACGAGAGACCGACACTGCTGTAAGACTGAAACACTTTGTGCCAGCCAAACTCCCAATCAATCAAGACCACCGCTGGAAGAGACAGATAAATCTGTCAGACTGAATCACTTTGTGCCCGCCAAACAATTCCAGGGCCATCTGCTTGTATCCACGGTGCTCACCTTTGTTTCTGCACTCTATCACTCAAAACTCACCAACTTGATCTGCGCCAACGCGACGATGAAACTGGCCAGCCCTTGGTCGCACAACAGGACCGTTTGGCGATGCTCATGCTCGGGCACACAACAGCAGTCTGGGTGATTGCTGCACGCCATGGTACATTGTATTGTAAGGTCGAACACCGCTGGCATGACCGGCAGTCAACTACAATCGGTGGTCCCAATCGATGGTCCCGCACTGCACGCTGGCCAGTGTCATCGTGTTGGCGCAGACCAAATTGGTGAGTTCTGAGCGAAAGGGTTTATACAAACAAGGTGAGCGACGTGGGCAAGAGCAGACCCTGGGATTGTTTGGCTGGCACACAGTGTTTCAGTCTCACAGATTTATCTGTCTCTTCCAGCGATGGTCTTGATTGATTGGGAGTTTGCCTGGCACAAAGTGTTTCAGTCTTACAGCAGTGTCTGTCTGTCATTCCTTTCCCAAACTCAAACAACAAACACCCGGGGGAGTATGCAACCAACCCCCCCATCCCCCACCACACCACCATACACCACACCACCACACCACCAAAACCGGAAAAACCGGAACCGCGACATTGCCATTTAGACTATCCTATAGACTATCCACCCTTGCCGCACGACACGTGTCCATGCACATACATATACGATGATGGCCAATTGGCCAGCGGGTGTGTGCTGAAGACATGGCCGTGCTGTAAGGTTCTCAAGCAGTAGTCCATGTCCACAGCTTGAAAGAAGTTCGGCACGATCCACGATCCATGATCCGACGACGGCGGGTAAGTGTTCCTCCGCGTTCATCCGCGATCCGGGCCGATCTTTCATTCCACCGTGTGCACCAACATGGCATCCACCTCACCGCAAGCCCGACCTACGTGTCTGGTGTGTGGTCACTTGTCTGACGGCATGCTAGTGTGGTGGCGGTCTCAAACAACATGCCCTCAGCAACAGCAACAGCAGAGAGAGATAGAGGGGTGGACGGAACCACGGATCGGGTGGATCCAACGGGAAAACCTTTTATTCTACTCACAGCCGACCAGCGACCTCGCTGACCACCAGCGGACCATGGCGCAGGCGGACATAGCATGCCAAGGCATGTTTCACACAACGGGACCGTTTGATCATGCTCATGCTCGGGCACACTACAGTCTGGGTGATTGCTGCACGCCATGGTACATTGTATTGTAAGGTCGAACACCGCTGGCATGACCGGCAGTCAACC